CAGGAAGTAACACCTGCTTCTTTGACAGAAACCACACCTCCATCTGGGTGGACTATTTCCTTACTGTGGTGGCAACTAATGCAATGGGAAATGCCACCTCCAACACATTTAAGATGGATGTCATGGAGATTGGTGAGTGGGAAATTGCTATTTCAAAATAAAGGTCACAATAATGCAATTGGAGCTCTGGTGACAGCAGAACTATTGATGCAGATTAGTATAAATGCTGGCTTGAATTGAAACAACAGTCTGACACGTGTGTGTGTGTGTGAGTGTGTGTGTGTAATGAGGTAAAACCTGTTTATTGTACTGTAATGATGGAAGTGTCGAGGATTAGATTTGACTTGTCAGTCTGCATCAGACTGTTTAGTGTCTTCATCCTGAAACATGACAAACCACATTTATTTACTGTATTTTATTAGTTTTAGGCCATTTGTTGGTGAATATCTAAGGTGCCTCTGAACCTGCTTGTCTTGTTTAGGACTGTGTTCTATGGGTTCTATTTCTGTTCTCCTCAAAATAATATTATATTATTATTATATAACATTATTATGAAGTAAACACTTTCCTGCTTAGTGTCATCTGTCTTCAGAGACTTTAGTCTACTTTGGGTTGTTACAAACTATCTTAGTATAGCCTAACTTGTTTTACTGAATACCCACTTATATGGCTAACAGTGCTATGTTAAGAATGAAAGAATTAACGTACAACTTATCCGCAAGTGTTAACAAAGAGTTCACCATTTTAAGTTTCCTGCTTCCATTATGTTCAGGTGACAGGAGAAACATTACATTTAAGAATAATACAGGTTTGTTTTTTTTATCTTGCGTTAATGTGAATGTTGCCAACACAAACGGTCATTGTCTTATGTTGACAGTGAAGCCCAACCCACCTGAAAACATTAGTGTGCAGGTGTTGAGACATGACGAACACGAGCACCTGAGTATCAACTGGCATCCGCCGCAAAATACAGACACGGGGTCGGGTTGGGTCACCATCAAGTATGAGGTCAGGGTGAAAGATGAGAGCAGTGATGACTGGAAGGTAAGATATTCTGTTATATCACTGTGATGCCACTCACACACTGTTATGTTGTACCATTCATGTGTAGTTGACGACCCAACCAGGAAAAACTGATGGGTCTACGTGACAGCACCATGTGTGGTTGCTAATAACTAATTAGTTGAGCAGTACTAGCTGTCAGTTGCAGTTGCTCCCCCCTGAGGTCAGTGTCTGCCCCCCCTCTCTCTTCTCACAGATTTACACATCTGGAACACAAATACAGTTCAACCTGTACACTGTCAGTCCTGGGGTTTCGTACCAGATTCAGGTTCGCTGTAGATTGGACCACAGTTCCTGGAGCGAGTGGAGCAACGCATTGTCCGTCAGAATCTCCAGCTGTAGGTCTCATCTATTTCTCTCATCTATGAATCAGAATCAGAAACGTTTTTATTGGCAGGTCGGTTTTCACCTACGAGGAATTTGTTGTGGCATACAGTGCAGCGAAGGAAATGTACATGAAGGTATACAATAAAATAAATTCAATTATGCCTATAGGTCGAGATTTACAGAATAGTCCAGAAAAGTGCAGGTGTGTGTATGTGCAGGTAGGGGTGGGTGGGGGTGCTGTGGGGGATGATACGCTGCAGTCTGTGCAGATCCTTTGCAGTGGCAGCAGCAAACCAGATGGAGATGGAGGAGGTGAGGATAGACTCGATGATAGAGTGACTTTGGCAAATTGAACTGTTTCAGCTGCCTCAGGAAGTACATCCTCTGTTGGGCTCTTTTGATCAGGGAGCTGATGTTTAGCTCCCATTTAAGGTCCTGGGTGATGATGGTTCCCAGGAAGCGGAAGTGTCCCACAGTATCCACAGGAGAATCACCCAGGTTGATGGGCGTGGATGGTGGTGGGCACGTCCTGAAGTCCACTGTCATCTCCACTGTTTTTAGGGCATTGAGCTCTAAGTTGTTGAGTCTACACCAGGTGGTCAATCTCCCATCTGTACGCTGACTCGTCCCTATAAGAGATGAGTCCGATGAGGGTGGTGTCACCCTTGAACTTCAGGAACTTGACATTCTGATGGCTCGAAGTGCAGGTGTTTGTGTACAGGGAGAAGAGCATGATGGTGTTGAAGGCTGAACTGAAATCCCCAAACAGGATCCTGGTGTAGGTCCCTGTTTGGTCTAGATGCTGCAGGATCTAGACCAAACAGTGGTGGGCTAAGTTGGCCAGTATTGTATTAATAATGAAAGCATTTATGGTTTAGATCCTCAAAGGGAAAAGGCCTCGTGGATTCCGGTGTTGTGTCTGTCCACAGTTCCGGTTCTAACAGCCCTGTGTGTCCTGGTGATAAAGAGAAGGAAGTAAGTGACGATGATGATGATGATGATGATAAAGATTGATGATGATTTATGTGACTTATTTAATTTTCTGTCTGTCAGTGTGAAAATGTGTCTCCTTCCTCCTGTTCCTGGTCCAAAGATCAAAGGGATTGATGTTCAACATCTCAAGGTACAACATTTTTAAATGTAAATGAATCATGAGTCAGACTTGTGTTCTTGGTCCTTTAACTCAGTGAGACGTTGTTGTAACAGAGAGGATTAACTGATAACATCAGCAGCGCTCTGAACGTCAACCACAATTTTCCTCCTGTTGTCGCATGGAAGGATGAAAACGAAGACCTCCTCATCATTTCTGACGATGATGCGCCCATAGACCTACCCACTTTTCCCAAACACAAGAACAACTTGGACATCAGATGTGAGTTATTGGTAAAAGTAAAACCAAACCTCTTGGAGGACAGACACCTGTGTCCAGCTGTCACCTCCTCCAATAGCTATGTGGTCGACGTGAGTAAGAAGCAGGACAACACTTTACCTGAAGACTACAGCAGGGTGAAGGAAGTGGCTGGAGACAACAGTGTCCTCCTACAGAGACAGTCAGCAGCCTCTGTGTCCTACACAGACCTCAACAATGAGAAACCACAGAGGTTTAAGCATGTGGCCGACAAAGGGAAATACTGCCCGGAACTGATGGGCAGCGACTATGTGGAATCAATGCCGAGTCCACCCACAATATGACTCTGCCCCCTAATGACGGCGGGAAGGAATAACTGAACATCTGGTGGTGTCTCCTGGTCTCCAGAGGGACAACCTGGGTCACATTGTGTATTCTCAGTGTGTAATCCTTCAGTCGTTAAAGACAAAAAGACTCTTGAACTGAGCGTTTTGCCGAATCACTGCCGAGTCACGCATAGGACTGCTGATTGAGTAGCCCTTTAACAATGATGACACAGCATCCACTGAAAGAATGCTGACTTGGTGTCTAGACATAAACTAGATTGCTGCTAAGTCGCCACACTGACTTAGTATTCCAAAATGTAAGAACACTGCTTTTGCATCTATGCTCTCAGGTATGCTGACTCAGCATCCAAGCACAATGTTAAGTGAACCGCACATTTTATGAGATGTTTATGTTAACAGCCTGCTCGGAGGTGCCGAGTATGTGGTTCCTCTGGGAATTAAACCCTGGACTCTCTGCTCGCAAGGCAGACATGCCAACCACTATAGTACGGAACAACATCTTAAGTATTCTCATCAGACAGCCTTGACCATGTCCATACACAACTGCTACCTTAGTGTCAATATTTTCAAAAATGCTGACTCACTATATTACTCCACAAAAACAAATGCTGAGCATCAAAGCATATACTGTGTTTATATACATACATACAGTGGACTGTATCTAAATCTGTATTTATCCTTGTATATTTTTACTCCTGCACACAATTAACTTAATTGTGCACAAAATCAGGTAAAATAAGCTAAAAGAATATTTCACAAAATTAAACACAAAAACACAATGAAACACAGTATTGTACACAGAACCCTAATATTTTAGAAGAACCCCTGACTACTGTATTTTCCAGACTATAACTCGCACTTTTTTTAAATTTTTGGCTGGGTGTGTGACTTATGTATTAAAATATTGTATATAATTTCACATTTGTTATTTTGTAAAGCCTTTTTAATTATAAATGTCTAAGTTTGTTTCCCTCCCTTTTGTAGGTGTGTGTGCAGATACAAATGGAAATAGTTGTGAAAGTTTTTTTTCTGGTTTCACATTAATAAAGAACAAAAAGCAAATGCTGAGTTTGATCCTGACAATCCAGTTCCAGTTGTCAAACACAAACCAACAACAATGATAACAATGAGAGAAAATATGTCTAAAGAAACAAATGTGTAATAATTAACTAATTCAACAATTGTTACTTTTTTGATACATGAAATGATTTTTATTGTTATAGACAAATAAAAGCATTTCTTCAAAGTGTAGAAACATGTTTCATAGAAACAGGCTGCAGCTCTGGACAACTGTGTGCTTCACATTTTTTAAATGACATCAGAACTGACCATAGACAAAGAGAATCTTCACTTCATTGATAATAAAGGAAGTGCAGTCCAGAGCAGTATCAGGGTCACAGCAGAAGCACCTGACATAGAAGCTGTGTGTGTATATATATATATATACAGGGAGTCCTCCACTTACATAGGAGTTCCATTCCTACGGTGTAACTCCATTTTTAGGTCCAAATTTACCTACTAAACATCAGTACTTATGTCACTCACTGACTTACACCTGGGAGCAATAATAAAGGGCAAAAGTTTCCAAAAAACAAAACAAAAACGAAAGAATGTGAATGTAGCACAATCGAATGTATGGCGTACAACAGGCAAATGTAAACAAAGCCGTCTACGGCATACAGGTATAGCGCCACGTGTCAATGTATTTATCCACTCTACTCGCCTACCAATGTCCAATGTCCCACGTAAAATATAAATTTTAACTTTGTACTTTTTTAATACATTTATGGAAGATGGTAGTCGTAAACCGAGGACTCCGTGTATATACTGTAACCTGTGATGTCACACTGTCATCACAGCAACCCCCGAAATGATTGGCATCACCTTGGTATCGGTCACCTAACTGATTGGATAATTATCGTACATTTCTATGACATCAACTTCACCATGTGTTTGAAGTCCTTTTTTCCCCAATGCCATTAATTTTATAGCAGAGATGAATTTTCTTCTTTAACTTCTGTACTTTGTTCACAGTTCTGGTCCAAGCTCAACATCTCTCGATGATTCTTCATCATTTCCCTCCAAAGTTTCACTGCAAAAAGAATTAAATTTTTCTCATTTCATTTGCTTTGAAGTTTTAAAATGTTATTGATGATGTTGATTTATTGATTCCTTTGTGTCTGATCTTCTCAAGAATTAGCACTACACAAACAAATTCATTGATGTCATTCTGTCAATCGCTCTAAGCTAGATTTTTTATCAAAATATTAAAACATTTTTAAAAACAATTCAGCTGAGACTCACTGTACTCCGGTTCCTCTAGACTGGGGATGTTTGGACGAAGGTCCTCCTCCTCATCTTGACTCTTTATCTGAAGCTCCAACTCTTCAGCCTGGCATCCAACCACTATCTCGGTCTCCGTCTCCTTATTCTGGGGGCTTTCCTCCATCTCTGCCTCCAGACTGGACAACATCACTTCATATGCTGTCCTGGCCTCAGACGACAATGCGATCATCTGATGGTAAAAGTCCTGCAGACGACACATCGTTTGAACGTCACTGACTCGATACAACTACCACTGATTGATCTCTATTACTCATCCATCCATCCATCCATTTTCATCCGCTTATCCGTTACCGGGTCGCGGGGGCAGCAGTCTCCACCCAAATCACACTGCACTGTACCAACCCCCCTAAACCTTCCCGTGGGTGGAGAGTCCACTGGAAGGTACCAACCGCCCTAACCAGGATTCGAACTTGCCCAGGAGGTGAACCCTGGGGTTCCACACCAATGACAGAGACACTGCCTCTGGGCCAATGCACCACTCTATTACTCATCATCAGTCATTAATTTGAAAACCCACCTGAGCACCATCATAGTTAAAAATGCCCACCACACTGACAGGCACAGCTTTGTTAACGCAGCGACCCAAGGTTTTCCTCTTTAGAGCGAAAACAAACGGCACTTCCTGCTCCCGACACGTGTCAATAATGCTGTGAAGCGCCTCATCCAGACCACCTGTAGAAGGTCAACAGTCACGTTAATGCAATGGAAAGTATTTTCCCAACAAGCCAGAGTGAGGCAATGACTCTAACCTTTGGATTCAATTCGCTCACAATTTGGCGAAATAATGACACATTTAAGCTTGCGGAGTTTCAGGTGTTTCAGAACCTCCCTCAGACCCATCACGATACGACGCTTCATACGAGCCTTCATTGGGTCCTTTTGGTACAGACGGTCCTGGAATCGAACCAGTTCCTTCAGCAGAGTTGTCACACAATCATCCACGTCTCTGCTCAGCATCTGACTGCAGTAACTAGAAAAAAAAATAAGTAGAACTGTAAATTGTAGCTCACAATTAAGATTTTCACATAACATTTAAGGATAAAGATGTTGAACAAACACACACATACACAGAATCTTACTCTCTGAAACGCCTGCTGTGGATTTTAACTTTGTTGAAGCTGCAGGAACCATTTTCTTCTCCTTGACTAAGGTTTGGATCATGAACATTGGGCTGCTCTTCAGGTTCTTGTGTCAAACTCGCACACTCCTCTAAGATTCAACAAAAAAGAACAGCCATCAAAAACAGATCTTCATTTATTTCCTTAACAGCTGATGTTGTTGTTGTCGATATGTTTACCGGTGTTGTTTGTGACACTCTCTTCTCCCTCATCACTTCCTTCTTCAGGCTCCTCCGCTGTCTCACCTCTCTCCTCCATCAGGCGGCGCTGTTTCCTCTCCTCCCGTTCTTTTAGAATGACCTGATAATCAAACAGAAAAAAAGTCATCCCATAACCCAGGGTCCACAGTCCACATCATGGGGCTGAGTGTGTGAATTTTATGTTTGTATAAAAATCTGACCTTCTTCAAGGCGGTAGGTTTTTTGGGTTTGGGCACCTCTCTCTGTTTTCCTTTCTTTACCAGTGGACTGGTCGAGTCCAGTGGATTGTGTGCAAACTTTTCTGGCTTTTTCTGTGTCATTGATGCCTTGTGGACAACAGGAAGTCCTCCACCAACTTCATATGAACACGTACACTTTAAAATTCGAGCTGCATCAGAAACAACTCTGAGATTTATGATGAAACTTTTTCTTACCCGACAGAACAACAGGTTTGTCTTTGTGCGACTGCTGCTGCTTTTTCTCCAGAACCTCCAGCATGTTCCCAATGTCCAGCTGAACAGGAACTTTACTTTTTTTACCACTGACCTTCTCTGTTTTCTACAAATACAAAGACCAATAACACAAGTAAAAACAAGACCATATCCCAAATCCTGCAAAACACCTTTTTCCAGAAAAAAAAAGTCAAACCTGTGCTTTTTTAACAATCTCCAAAGAAACTGAAGATCTGTCTTTGCTCTGCTCAAGCTGTTTTCCTGCCATATGGTTTTCCTAAAAAAAAGGAAACATCATTAACTTAAATGTATATTTTACACCAGACGTGTATTTAAATCTACATTAGTACAGACTTTTGCAGCAGCGCTTCTTTGTACAACAGGACCTAAACCTGGAAACTCCTCTTCATCCTGGTGAAGGAAGACAAAATGTTAAGTTGTCATACCAATAAAAAAAAACTTTAAAGTCAGCTCTGGTAAAAAATATTAATGTCTGGGTTGAACCCAGCTGGTACAGAGAGATAATGAAAACTATTTGACCTCAAACTTGGGAGGCTTCTGGTGGATGACTACAATATCTGATTCTTCTTCTTCTTCATCAACAGCCATTTTGTTCTTTTTCTTCTTTTTTCTCCGCTTTTTCTTTCCTGCAGTGGCATTTTCCTGTGTCACAGTTGTATCTTCCTTTTGAAAATGTTGCTGCTTTTCTCCATGCTATAATCACAAACAGAAAACTGTTCAACTCTGGTTCTGTGATCTACAATGAAGAAAATCATTTTTACTTTCACTGGAATCTACATGACAAGACTACACGATACAATAAATAAACTGTAAAAACATGTACATATACCGTATTTTCCGGACTATAGAACACACCTGAATACAAGCCGCACCCACTAAGTTAAAAAAAAAAAAAACTATAAATTTACATACATTAGCCGCACCGAACTATAAGCCGCCAATATCCAGGTTGAGAAATTAGATATTTACCAGATAAACAGGAACACAGAACGATTTTGTACCGTAAATGTTTATTTATATACCTGAACAGTGCCTGTAACTTGGCAGTAAAAGTGCTGATCAAACAAAACAGAAACGTAATTGATGGCTTTAATCATCTTCCTCCTGTGCACCGAAACCGCTGAAGTCTTCTTCAGTGTCGGACTTGAACAGCCTCAGAAAAACTGTCACAAATCTTTTTAGTGTCTCTGTCAGTGTTGCTCCTGTCTCTTTCATCCCGAGGTAAAGTTTCCTCTGAAGTTGTGCTGCTCTCTCCACAAGGCAGTCTTTCGGAACCCGTTGGTGATGGTGGATTCTTTCACACTACACTGTGAGGATCCACGCACAGATGTCAGAAAAGGATGCTCTTCGCATGCGGCCAGTTTTTGTGAATGATTTCTCACTGCTGGTCATCCAAGCCTCCGACTCACCCCGGAGTGCGGGCGATTGCTTTGGCTTTCAGTCAGATCTGCATGGTGGATACACCTTGGTCGCCTGCTCTCTGTGTGTTCACCCAGTCCTCAAGGGGATTTTCTGGTTCAGGCCACCTGTTTGTATGGCCTCTGAAAGCCTTTGTTGTCTTTTGGCATTGATAGAGTTCTTCCCACTGCCGTCTCCAACGTCTCACCATGGATTCATTAACGCCAAGCTTAGCGCGGTAGCCCTATTTCCTTGCCAGATCGATGGCCCTCAACTTAAAAGCCGCATCTTTGTATAAGCCACATGGTTCAAAGCGTGGGAAAAAAGTAGCGGCTTATAGTCCGGAAAATACGGTACATTTCTACAATAATATTGATAGTGCCACCTTCTGGAAAGTGCTGCTCACTGTCTTCTCCTGAGAAACAGGTTTCTTCGGAGGCTGAGAGGCAACATTGGCCCATGAGCTCACTATTGTCTGACCTGTTCAAAAACAATTGTCATGAATTACTCTAAGGTACTTTATCTCACAGAGGAAGCAGCTGCCAGTATGAACAAACCTGGTAAGATTTCAGGTGGGTGTGTCTTAGAGTTGTTTGGCGATTTACCGGGAGGTGTTTGTGATCTCCTCATAGACTGTTTAACCAAACACCAAATAAACATCTTAGCAAAACATTTTCTTAATTTTTAAAAACGTAACTGTCCAAAGTAATATATGGGGACAGACTCACCTTCCCGGAGTACTCTTTCTGATCAAGAATTGGCGTTGTTGAAGCACAAGGAACGGGAACATCTGACAGTTGTGGGAAATCTGACATATTCACTTCAAATGGGATCCAGTTGTCCAATGCTGGTTTTGAAGTTCCTGCAGGTCTTGCAACTCCAGAACCTGAGATGGTTAGAAACAAATTGTTAGAAAGTTTTCTGCTGGCTGCTGTCATTAAAGCCCCAACTACAAAAGCAACTATAAAGCTTTTTTTATATTACCTACAAACCAACATTTAGATTATACTTTAACTATTAATACGATTAATTGATATAATTATTAAAATTATTATAATATTAAAACAATATATTTTATTTTTTCAACTAATTATTCATTTTAACATTATGATTGAAAACACCACACACAATCTTAAGCAACTGTATTCTTTCACTTTCATGAAATGCAGCATATAAATCTATCTGAGCTGGCGCATCTTGTGATTTCTGCCATTACATGACAGTTACTAAAATGTCTCCAGGGTGGCCAGAAATTGCTGATGTCAAAATGGGGTCACAAACCAAAAAAGGTCGGAAACCACTGTTCAAGAGCCCTAGAGTGAGGGGCTTCATAAGAGAGTAAATACTAAAGCACCTGTTTTCTGTGTGCTTGTGGTGTTTCTGACCACTGCTCTTTGTTCTCTGCTGAATTTTGTTGCCTGTAGAGTAAAAAGATAAAAATTACTTGATAATAAACCCATAGAGACATAGTTTTACTTGGTTTGTGATGCTGTAAATAGCCTGACCTTGGTTGTTGATCTGTTTCTCTGTAGAAACTCATCTCTGTGCTCTCCAACACTAAGACGGGCATTGAAGCTTTGACTCATCACTGTGTCTCCTGCTTCTCTCCTTGTCATCTTTGGGCTCTGACCTGACTGCTTTCTTTACAAAGTAACAAATGTTATTGTTATGGGAGAATGTGTGGTTTAACTCAGGATGTTAAGGAAGGCAAACAACTGACACCAGCTTCTTACCCTCTAGTCATTTGCTCAGAAACGTATGGGTTTGGTAAAGTGAAAGACAGTGAGTCACCTGACTCCGTCATCTTTCTACTCTGTGAGGGCTGCAAAAAAAAAAAAAAAAAAAAATCAGAAACACTTAATAAAACTGATACATTTTATTTTAAAAATAATTCATATTTACCTGCAAAAACCACTATGTCACTACTCTGGTACTAACTGTGGTTTAAGTTAGCAAAAACACTAAATCTATTTACAGATATGAGATGTTAAGATGGTCTCATTGGCATCTCTAACAGCTTGGACTTGTTTTAATATTATTCACTATCTGATTTATTTTATTTCTTTAGGTTTTTCAAACCAAGTAAAACCTTTGACCAACTTCCCCCTTCTTATTTATTAATAAGTAATACATTCATAGCTATTGTCTCGACGCATAACATGTTTTCATCTCTCTATTTTTCATATCAGCCAATTCGTTTGGGTTGTTATTTGTTCCGCCTCTCCTCCATGAAACAAAAACAGGAATGAAATAAAATGTAAAGTAATGTTAACACTAGTTAATTTTACAGATAGGGACTTCAGGCTGATTGCTTATAAGGGCTTCTATTATTGTTTTATTTATACTCAGTGACAAAAGTAACTGTTTACCTACTGCCATACACGTTTGTGTAATCAGTACTTAGCAAAGTCGATTAGTACACGCAGTGCAGACGGTTCACTGTTGGCTTTAAACTTTATCTGTACATGTCTATTATAGTAGTTATGTTGACCATTTTAAAAATATTGTATTTGGTATATTGTTCACTTTACACAAAGTTCATCTTGACTATTAAGTCTCGTTAGCTGTATCTGTTTTGTTCTCTTGTATTTATTCTTACCTTTTCCATGTTCGGTATTTTTTAAAGATACTGTCACATCTTCATCTGTTTACTGAGCACGTTCTTCTCCCTGTCTCCAGAACAAGCTAACAAGTAAAAAAGCAAACAAGGTAAAAAAAAAAAAAAAAAAAAAAAAAAAAAAAAAAAAAAAAAAAAAAAAAAAAAGCCAGAAAGAAAAAAGAAAAAAAAGACCTTGCTAGCTGAACGAGGCTAACTTGAACCTGTTGGAGCGAGGTCCACACCGGAAACAGCTGATGTTCATTTGTAGGAGGAACGTAACAGTGACCCCTTTGTTTATCAAGTGTTATTACAAGTCGAGTTCATCTAAGCGTTGGAAAATATATATTTTGACATAAACCACTTTATAAGTTTGGAGAATTTATTAAAAAATTACAAACATCCTGTATATTTTTAATAATTTTGATTTACACTTTCCACGTTATATAAAATAAGAATGTATACATTTTTGTAAAAGTAATAAGTATAACCTTGCTTTAGCATATACCTCTGTTGGTACAGTAGGATTAGGGCTACCAACAGAGGTATATGCTAAAATCAACATGAAATATTTACTTTCAGCTGTCCTCTACAGTGGTCTTCAGCATAGTGATAGTTTGTACAACCACATTAAGGAGACAAGGGTTATGCTGATCCAAACCAGTGACCAACCTTATAGAAAATAAGAATCTTTAACTGGATATCAATTCCCTGATGTCATTGAAAACTGGAGGGGGCATTTCCTTGACCCTAGAATTACACTCAGATTGCCAGCCACACTATTTAATTCTAATTCTATATCACTTCATACATAAATTCACTTTTTAAATTCATGAAACAGTACTAAAAATAACATATTATATCCTCCATTGTAAAAAAAAATACATCATTGGCATGGTAGTGTAGCAAAAACAGCTAAACAAACACATAAAAAAACTGCATGCACTCAGAATTGGTCTCTGAGACAAAGTAGATATTGGAGTATTTGAAATGGAGTGTGATACCACACATTGCCTGAAGCTGCAATAATTCTGTGCAAATGCTAGTTGTGTTCACATTCACTGGCCAGTCAGAGCGTCACAATGTCACCGCCTTGATCATCATCATCACTCGTCTTTGATCTTGGCCACGGCAGCAAGGAGTGCGAGTGGTACGATGAAGGCAACTGAGGTGAGGATGAAACAGGTTTCGGCTCCAGCCAACCAATAAACTATAATGAAAGTGATTCAAGACATCAAAAATATATACATTGTATGTATTTTTTATTTGACCATGTTAAAAATGTATTCCTACCAGTGGATGATAAAACTGGTCCCAGAGCTCGAGCTAATGCTCCTAAACTCCTCAGGATTCCCATCACAGTCCCTTTCTGTGCCGCTGAGCCTAGAGGCAAAGGTGAAAACACAACTGGCCAGATTAGATACACATATCAGATTAGAAATATTATAATTCAATTAAAAGTATGCTTACCCTAATAAACTGAATATTACAAAAATAGTTTATAAATAAAAACACAATCTAATTAAATAGTTTATGTAGGGAATTATTTAAATAATTAACTACTTATTAGAGCCTAAAAAGATAAACTGTTTGTTAGTTAATCAAAATAACTGTTAGTTAATTGATTAAATAAGAATAAAATGTGATAAATGAGAATTTAGAGTGAACTGACCATGGTCAGAAACAAGCGTGGACAGACATGGAACCACAACTGCGGCAGCTGTAAAGTGAAGGAGGAAAAACAAACGTGATGAGGAAACTATGACTCAACAGAAGGAAGGGACGAAGACACACACACACGCGCGCGCGCGCACACACACACACACACACACACACACAGCTCGGTACTTACCAAAAGAGTACAGGCTCAAACCGATGTAAAGCATAATTAAATTCCAGGACAAACCAATGAGGATGAAGGCTGGAATTAATGTAATGATGGCCTGAAAAACACATACCACAGTGTCAGAGCATCTGCTGCATTGGATCATATAAATGTCATTTACTGTATCCAAAGCAGTTAAGTAGAAGGCAACCGGACTGTCTTGACTTCTTCAAGACATTTTCACTGTTTCTTTAGTTCTACCTGACTGCTCTATCAGTCAGAACTGCTCATGAAAGGAGGGTGTGGTCACCTATTTTGTTTTGCTAAAACAACTTTCTTCACAGGTACTCAGCAACCATGAGGTTGAATACCAGAATTTTCCAGTAGTCAGCTAGAACTGAAGAAGCCTATTGACATGTGAAAACATCGTTGAGAACCCAAGATCATCCAGTTGCCTTCTACTTAACTTGTACTGCTTCATTTAAAGTAAAGAATATACAATAATAAACAATATGCTTTTGCTTATAAACATGAACCTCTGTCTGTGAGAAGACAACGCTATGATGCAGAAAGGTCATGGTAAATATAAGGAAGAATGGTGGCTCTCTCACCATACGAACAGCCTTGATGTGATTCCCAGGTTTGATTCTGCGGGAATATCCTCCCTGGATTATCGCCATGACAACACCAATGAAAAAGAACATCTTGCCCTGTTGCATACTGATACACATACCAACAGTATTGTCAAGATCCAAAATATCAATAAAAATCCAAACTTTCTCCTGGTTTACATTAGTAGGATTATTACAAGGATTAGTAATTTAAAAGTCATAAATGAAG